GGCGGGGCCTTGACGGCCGGGCGGGGCCTGGGCCGCCGCCGCTCCAGTGGGCAGGTCCGCTTCTTAGCTCCGTTTGCAGAAGAGGAAACGGAGGCTGTTTGTTTCTGTCCTGCTCGAGGCCGCGCAATCCGTGTTTGAATCCAGGCCTGGCGGGCTCAGGAACCCACCCTTAGCCAGCCGATGCTGCCTCTCGGCGGTCACTCTCCCCTTTTTATTGAATCACTAATGAAGTTTGCGTTCCCCGGCACAGGCTGGAAGCTCTTCGCATCCTCCAGCCTCCCCCTCCCTTCATTTTTCTCCCGCCCCTCAATCCCCTAGATCCGCAGATCTTGTAGGTCCCCTTGCAGAATAGATCCAGAATCTGTCACCTCTCACCTCCTCCACGCCCCATCGCGCTCCACTTCTATCGGTTCTGCTCTGGTGTTCTGCACCAGCCTCCTCATTGGGCTCCTTGCTTCTCCTCTTGGCCCCTAGAGTCCATTTTCCACGCAGCTGCCGGAGGGTCCTGTTAGATAAGGGGCCGGCCCGGTGACTATCGGTTAAGTGCGCGCTCCGCTGCTGGCGGCCCGGGTTCGGATCCCGGGCGTGCACCAACGCACCGCTTGTCTGGGCCATGCTGAGGCCGCGTCGCACATACAGCAGCTAGAGGGACGTGCAACTACGACGACATACAACTATCTACTGGGGCTTTGGGGAGAAAAGGGGGGGAAAAAGAAGGAGGAGGATTGGCAATAGATGTTATCTCAAGGCTGATCTTCCTCACACACACAAAAAAGAATGTAAATCAAACAATGTCACTCCCCCATTCAAAACACCCCCAATAGCTCCCATCTCACTCAAAGTCAAAGCCGAGGTCCTCCCCAAGGCCTACAAACTGCTCCCCCCATCCCGTCTCTGAGTACTCTCCCCTTGGCTCACTCCACTCAAGACCCACCGGTCTCCTGGGTCCTGGAATAAGGCGAAAACACTCCCGCCTCAGGACCTTTGCACTTGTAACCCAAATATCTTCATGGCTTGCTCTCTCCCTTTATTCTGGTCTTTACCCAAAAGTCTTCCCTGACCACCCTATGTGAAATGTCACACATACACACATATATCCGGCATTTCGCATCCTCCTTCCTGACTTCATGTGTTCTCCAAAGCATATATTACTATCTAACAGCATATTTTACTTATCTTTTTTGTTTGTTTGTTTTTTGTCTGTTTCCCTCTTCTAGAGGCAGGGACTTTTGTCTGTTTTGCTCACCACTGTGTCCTGGTGTCTAGAACTGTTCCTCACACATAGCAGGTGCTCAAGGATTATACGTTAAATGGCAGAAGAAATCGCAGACTTTCATCTGGGATCACTTTCCTTTAGCCTGAAATACACCCCTTAAGACAGGTTCTCAGCCTGGTGTACATTTGAATTGTCTGGGGAGCTTTTAAAAATCCTGGTGCCTGGGCAGCATCTTAGATCAGTTGATTTAGCATCTCTGGGGGTGGAACCAGGCATCAGGAATTTTTAACCCTCTCTGGTGTTTGTAATGAGAAGCCAAGTTTGAGAACTGCTGTTTTAGAATTCCCCACGGGAAGAGTCTTCTGGTGACAAACTTTCTCAGGTTTTGTTTGAAAAGTATTTGCTTAGACCTCATTGTTGATAGACATTTTCGCTAGGTAAAGAATTCTAGCTGGCATTTCAGCGCCTTGAAGACAGCATCCCCTGTCTTCCAGCTTCCATGGAGACACTATCATCTGTCAGTCAAACTGCTGTTCTTTCTTTCAACAGCTTTATTGAGATATAATTTATACACCATAAAATCCTCCCATTTAAAGTGTACAATTTAATGTTTTTTTAGTACATTTGCAGAGTTGTGCAACCGTGACCACAATCTAATTTTGGAACATTTTTATCACCCGAAAAGAAACCCTGTACCCATTAGCAGACGCTCCCCATCTCCTACCCTTCAACCCCCCAGCACTAATCTACTTTTGGTATCTATAGATTTTCCTATTCCGGACATTTTATATTATTTAAATGTTTCAATGTGTGGTCTTTTGTGACTGGCTTCTTTCACTTAGCATAATGTTTTTGAGGTTCATCCATGTTATACTGCTGTTCTTTTGAAAGTAATCTCTCTGGTTTTATTTCGTCTGAGTGCTTTTAAGATATTTTCATTGTCTTTGGTTTTTTGCATTTTCACTATGATGTGTCTGTGTGTGAAAATTTATGGAGTCTCTTGAATCTGTGATTGATGTCTGATGTCTCTCACAAATTCCCTCTTAAGACATGTCTCGTCTGCGGTTTAACCCATCTTTTGAATTTTGTTTTTTGGTTACGGTATTTTTCATTTTAGAAGTTCTGTTAAGTTTCCAAATCTGTTATGTCACTTAATATAATTTCCTATGCTTTGGCCATAGTTTCAAGCTTATTATTAATTAATTTATTTAAGCACAGTAAACTTCTTTGTTTTATAATCTGAGTCCGATAATATTGCTATTGAACTCTGAGTATCTGTTCCTTTTCTTTCTTTCTTTTTTTTTTTTTTTTGCTGAGGAAGATTCGCCCTGAGCTAACATCTGTGCCAATCTTCCTCTATTTTGTGGGTTGCCACCAGAGCATGGCCGCCAATGAGTGGTGTAGGTCCACGCCTGGGAACCAAACCCAGGCCGCTGAAGCAGAGCACGCAGAACTTAACCACTAGGCCATGGGGCTGGCCCAATACGCTTCTGTTTTTGCTGGTTCTCACTCCGGTTGCCTTGTTTTCTCCTGCTGACCCTGCGGGTTTATGATGGTCATGTTCCTTCAGCTCTTTCACAAGCACAGCTCTGTGCCTGGGGCAGAGATATTCTTTCAGGTGTCCTGGTCTTGCCCTTGGCCCTTCAAGGGTGGAGCTGCATTCACTGTGGACACCCTTCATCCTGGTGGGTAGACTCTGCAGTCATTCGAACCTGCGTTCAGTCCCACAGTGTGCTGTCTGTGTGACCCTGGACAAGAGATTCCCGCTCTCTAGGCCTCAGTTTCCCCCTCTCTACAGTGGTGATCATGATCATCCCTCCCTCATAGGACTGTTGTGAGGATCTGTATCAGTTGTTGGTTATTGATACCTAACAGATTACCCCAATACTTAGCAGCTTACAACAATAATAACCATGTGGATCTCACACAGTTTCTATGGGTTGGGAATAGAGGAGCAGCTTCTTAGGGGGTTTTGGCTCAAGGTCTCTCATGAGGTTGTAGTTAAGATGTTGCCTGGACTTCAGTCATCTGAAGGCTTGACTGGGGCTGGAGGCTCGACTTTCACGAAAGCCCACTCATGTGTCTGGTTGGAGTCGGTTATTTGCAGGATGCCTAAGTTCCTTGCCACCTGTGCCTCTCCACAGGGCTACTTCAGTGTCCCAGCAACATGGCAGCTGCAGTCCCCAAAGCAGATGATCGAGGAGAGCAAGGAAGAAACCATAATATATTTTATGGCCTAGCTTAGAGGTCATACTCCATCATTTTCATAATATCCTGTCAGTTACACTGGTCAGCCCAGCTCAGGGTGGGAGGGAACTACACAAGGACATGGATACTAGGTGTTGAGGATTGTCGAGGGCCATCTTAGAGGCTGGTTATCACATGTCAAGTGAGATAATCCATGTAAAGCACTTAGAGCCATGCCTGGCACGTAGTATGTGCTCAGTAAACATTAACCATCTTTAATAAGTGTCCTGGCTTTGCTCTAGGCATGTAGGATCTGCATAGCAACTGTTTTCATTCATTCAACAAACATTTATTGAGGACCTCTGTGTGCCAGGCACTGTTCTAGGAGCTGGGGAGACAGTTGGAAAGAAAACATAGTCCCTGGCCTTATGAAACTCACATACACAGATATAGAATGTCCTGCCAGGTGGTGCTACAGGCTATGAAGAACCACAAAGCCAGTAAGGGGAGAGAGGCTGAAGAGGAGATGGGGGCTGTATGTCTTTCCCCGTGAAGCTGGTACAGCTGTTGTGGTGGCTCAGATTCTGACCTCTGATAAAGCCCTCGCACACCTGTGCGCCCATCCTAGCACTCCAGGCAGGTAGAATTTATACTCATTTTACACCTGGGCTGGGGTCAAACCGGCCCAGAGAGCAGCTGAAATGAGCTCTCAGTCCCCAAGGAGTCAGGATTTCTCCAAATACAGAGATTCTCCAACTCGATTGCTCAGTAGCATCACCCAGGGAGCTTGTTAAGATGCAGAATCCCAGGTGTTGTGACCCTCTAGGTCTGGAAAGAGGCCAGGGATCTGCATTTTAAACAAACACCCTGGGGGACTAACCAGCCACAGCTGAGAAACCCTGTTCTGACAAGGGTCAGAAGAGGCTCCAGGTCCAGCCTCAAGTGACGGGCAGGACTTAGCCACACAGAGACGAGTCGAAACGTCTAAAACCCAGAGACACCAAGCAATTTGTCCAGGGGCGTGCAACCTGCAGGGTTGGTTTTTGGTACACAGTGGTCAACTTATTTGATCAAGTATATCTCATGTTGTCTATTGAGGAAAAAAAAAGACCACAAATTATTTTCAGATCTTCCCATCAAGAGGGAGAATTGATTTCCCTACCCCCTGAATCTGGCTATGGGACATGCTTTGGCCAAAGGGACATTTGCTGATGTGACACAAACACAGCTTGCATATTGGGATCTGTCCTCTCTTGTTGCTTTTTGAAACCCCAAGACCACCACGCAGAGTCAGCAATAAGCTTGTTGGAGGCAGAGATGAGCCATCACAGCCAAGGCTCCCGAGAACCTGCCAATCATAAGTGAGGCTGCAGCAGCCCCCTCCCAGCAGCCCACTGCCCACAAACACATGAGCGACCCAGCTGAGCCCAGCCCAAACTGCTGACCCAGAGAATCATGAGCCGCCAAGTGTTGGAGTTTGTAACACAGCCAAGACTGATACAACCTAGTTACTAGGGGAGAGAATTTACCTTCTTTCACTCGTAGCAAATTTTCCTTCATCATGGTAATTAACATTGCCCAACAAACAAACTCCACATCTCAAAGACTAGGCGCAGGAGGCTTCATTTCTTGCTTAGTAAAATCCACCATGGGTCTGGTGGTCCTCCTCTATCTTAGCTAAGGGAACGCCTGGCCTCGAGGTGGCTGTGGAAGGGAAAGACAGGGATGGAGGCCCACCAGCTCTCAGTTGCTTCAGCCCAGAAGTGACCGCCCCTGTTTTTCCCTTCTACACATACACCATTGGTCAGAACCAGTCATGTGACTGTAAGGGAGGCCAGGGCATGTAGGGGAGCACATGACATATTTGGTGATGCCCCCCTTTGTCACAAAGAACTTACCACAGATATAAGTAACTTCTTAATTTGTGTGGTTATCTGTTTAACCTCTGTCTCCTCTATTAGACTGTGAATCCTTGAGGGCAGGGAGCATGTCTGTGTCTTTCTTGCCTGATGCCTGGCCTATAGTTGGCATTTGTAATAGTTGTTGAATTGCTAAGTGAAGGAGTAATGGGGCAGACCACGATGTGTGCTTTTGTGTTTAGCTCCCAGTTGCGGAAAAAATCCCCAATTAAATTTCTAACAGTCCTTCCTTCCCAGTAATATATATGTATTATATTTGATATTGTAAAACTCGTATACAATGATCATTAAATGAGTATAAATAGAACACGAAAGTCCCCACTAATTGCAGTCAGGGGTGTGGCTACATGCGTTACTTGGTGAGAGTGGATTTTGCATTTTTTTTTTTTTAGGAAGATTGGCCCTGCACTAACATCTGTTGCCAATCTTCCTCTTTTTTCTTTTTCATCCCCAAAGCCCCAGTACATAGTTGTGTAGCATAGTTGTGGAGTTATAGCTCTTCTATATGGGATGCCACCTCAGCATGGCTTGATGAGCGGTGAGTATGTCCGCACCGAGGATCCGAACTGGTGAACCCCAGGCCACCGAAGTGGGACGTGCGAACTTAACTGCTAAGCCACGGGGCCCGCCCCGATTTTGCATTTTGATGTGGCAGTTTTCATGTGGCTGCATCCGAGTGGCCTTGTCAAAAGTTCCTGCTTCAAGGCAAAACCAGGTGAGTCTTTTCCTCTGTTGTGTGGTCTTGGACAAGTCTTCTGCTCTCTCTAAACCTCATTCTTCTTATCTGTAAGAGGACAAGAGTATCTGCCTCATAGGGTCGTTGTGAGGAGTAAACGAGTCCCTCTGTGTAATGTAGATGAAGGGTGGGCACAGTTCATGCCACGTGGCAGCCCCCATCTTTTTTTTTTTTAATTTTTATTTATTTATTTATTTATTTCCCCCAAAGCCCCAGTAGATAGTTGTATGTCATAGCTGCACATCCTTCTAGTTGCTGTATGTGGGACGCGGACTCAGCATGGCCGGAGAAGCGGTGCGTTGGTGCGCGCCCGGGATCCGAATCCGGGCCGCCAGCAGTGGAGAGCACGTACTTAACCGCTAAGCCACGGGGCCGGCCCAAGCAGCCCCCATCTTATATGAGTTTGCTTCCCCTGCCCTTGATCCACAAGTACCAGGAAGGACACAGCTTTTGAGGGAGCTGGGGCAGGGTCTGCTGGAAGCTGGGAGGGAGAAGGGAAAGGTTGGGGGCTGCCCCATGAGACCCTAGACACAGCTGGGCCCTGTACTGGGCAATGCTGGGTGCACAGAGATGAGCTGACTTGTCCCTGTCTGTATCAGTTAGTGTTTGCTGTGTAACAAAACACCCCAAAACTTAGTGGCTTAAAACAACAATCCTGTTACTTAGCTCATGATTCTGTGGGTCAGTTGGGCAACTCTTCTGGTCTGGGCCAGCCTGACTGACCTCTGCATTTGCAGTCAGCTGGAGGGTCGCCTGGTGGCTGGATGATCTAGGACAGCCTCCCTCAAGTGTCTGCAGTTAGTGGGCTACTGACCAGGGCATCTCAATTCTCCTTGTGCTTTCTCCCACTACCTCCTCCCTCTCTGAATTTGATTTTGTTCAAGTATCACTCCCCCCCACACAGGTAGCATGAGCCTCAAGGAGGCTGTCCCCACCTACAGCTGGAGGATTGGCATGATTAATCAGTGTAACTGCATTTCCCTTGATGGTGACTGGTCAGGAAAGGGCATGTGACCCAGTTCTGCCAATGAGATATGTGAGAAAGTCTGTTAGGAGTGCTTCTGGGAAAGCTTTCCACATCCCAAGAAAGAGCTATGGGGATAGCAACAACTAACTCTTACGAGGGCTTGTTATGCCAGCACTGTTGATTCTAAGTGCTTTACATAAAATAACTTATGCAGTTCTCATGAGTTAGGTACTATTATCCCTCATTTTACAGATGAAGAATGTGAGGCATGGAGTGTGTGAGAAACTTGCAGAAGGTCAAACAGCTAGTGAATACTAGAGGCAGGATTTAATTCCAGGCAGCCGGACCCCAGAGTGCTGAGTTCTCAAGTACTACAATGCCACCCTCCTTCTTCCTCTGGTCACAGATCTTCTAATGTGGCACCTGGGACTGCTGTAGCCATTGTGCCAGCAGTCACCTGGGACAACAGAGCAGAGAGACAGAATGAGCCTGGGGAGCCAGGGTCCTTGCTAACAGCTCTGAGAGCTGAATCAATCAGCCCTGAAGCCCACCCTGCCTGTTGACTTCTTGCTCTGTGTGAAATACATTTCCTTCTTTTTTAAGCCACTTTGACTCAGGGTTTTAGTTACTTGCAGCCAAAAAATACCCTGAAACACCACTGTTTCCAGAAGGAACAGAGAGACTGTGGGAAGACCTGCTGGGTCTTCTGTTCTCACAACCACTCAGCTGAGGTCGAGATACAAGGCCTCTGGCCTTTCCCCATGGGGCTGGTTTTGGAGGCAGGGAAAACTGATAAGAGATAGGGAGGAGAGGAGAGAAGAAATGTCCAAGAGAGATAAAAATATTTCACAACTCCTTTATTAGGCACAAGATAGAAATATATACTCGTGGCATCAAAAACCCATACTAACAATGTGGGGTCCCGGACCCCAAGTATCCCCAGAACAGGGCTTGGGACTTTCCAGGAGGCCAGCGGGCAGACTCTGCCTGATCCTGTTGCCCAACTGGTGCTCAGGTCAGGGGCCACTGAGGTGGACAGGCCCCTCATTCCAAACCATTCCTAGAGTTAGATGAGGACCAGCCTCATAGTTTCCACTCTTGATCTTCCAGCCCCAATCCTTGGCTAAGGCCTGGACAGAGAATCCCTTGACCAAGAGGACAGAGCTGCTGGGAGCACAATTCCCAGCATGGCCTGGGCTCTGGAGTCCTATGTTGCTGGGGAGAGGCCTGGAGCCTTTGGCACAGAGATGCTTCCCTTTCTCTGAAAGGTGCAAGATACAAAGGCAGCTGGGTTGTTTGTGAAGGGGACTGTCCCATGACAGAGGTGCCTGGGGGCCAGCACGAGTGGATATCGAACCTGCACTAAGTGTGCCCAGCGTGGAAACTGACCTGTGGGCGTGGAAAAGTGTTGTCAGCTCCATGAGCAGGAGTTTTGTCTCGTTTATTCACAGCTACATTCCCAGCACCTAGAGTAGGGCCTGGCCCTCAGTGAGCCCCCAAGAAAGACTTTTTGAATGCACAAGCCCGTGTGCACAGGTGTGCGGAACCACAGAGGGGTGCATACAGCACACTCCACACATGCCTCCTCCTTTCTCCCTCCCCCTAGAAGGCACTTAAGGTCTGGCTCAGTTCAAAGAGGTAGGAGAGAGCTTGGAGACACCCAAACTCCATCCACTGTTTGCAGCTCAGTGTCTGGTGGGATAGCCCTAGCCATACAGACCCACTTCTCTCTCTCCCTCCTCTTCCTCGGCCTCCTCCAGCCCTGGTCCATTGGGGACCACCTGGTCAGCCTTCCACAGGTGGGATCGGGATGGGACTGACGGGACCGGGTTCTCCCGCAGCCAGGGGTGCAGCAGGATGCCCGTGGCTGTGAGCCTCTCAGCCGGCTCCCGTCGAAGGAGGCAGCGGACCAGGCAGCGGGCGGGGGCCGAGAGGCCCTCAGGCAGGGCGAAGGCCCCACGGCGGATCTTGCCAAAGAGCAGGGCGGGCTCTGAGTCCTGGAAGGGGTAGCGGCCGGCCAGCATGGTGAAGAGCGCCACGCCCAGGCTCCAGACATCCGCCGCCTTGCCTGAGTAGGATGCCCGTGAGCTGAGGATCTCGGGGCTCACGTAGGCCGGGCACGCGTGCTTGTCCCACAGGGAGTCATCCGGCCCAGTCAGCACGCAGGCGTCCTCCAGGTTCTCCAGCACCAGCTTCGTCCTGTGGTGGGAGAGAGACAGAGGGGTCAGCTCCTAGTGGGACTCCCATGCCACCATCCCACACTGTCACCCTGAATGGCACCCACTTCCCAAGTGCCTGCTGGCATTTGGCAGATATGAGCCAGTCCTGTGAGGCTGGATGATTGGAAGCCCAGGCTCAGAGAGGTTAAGTCCTTTCTCAAGGTCACAGAGCAATTAAATTTGAACTAGGACTCTGAGAGGAACACACTTCCTAACAGTCCCTCGAGCAGGGGGCTGAGGGGGCTGAGGGCACTAAGCTTCTCTTAAACCAGATGCAAACTTAGGGTCCAGGCAGGTAATAAAATAAGAGAAGTGCGGACTGTGCCAACATCTCAGCACAAACCTTGCCTAAAAAGGGCAGCACTATGGGGCCGGCCACAGTGGTGCCAGTTGAGTGTGCGTGCTCTGCTGCTGGCGGCCCGGGTTCGGATCCCGGGCGCGGACTGATGCACTGCTTGTCAGGCCACGCTGCGGCGGATGTTAGCCCAGGGCCAGTCTTCCTCAGCAAAAAGAGGAGGATTGGCATGGATGTTAGCTCAGGGCTGATCTTCCTCACAAAAAAAAAAAGGCACCACTGACAACATGACAGTGAGTCTTCATGGAGCGCCCGCGGTGCACCTGCCCCAGAGCCAGGCTCCTTACCTGGCGCACTTCATTTTACCCTCGAACAACCCGTGGGGAGGACACCATTCTACAGCCACAGGGCGCAGGGCTGGGACGTGAACCCTGGCTCTCAGCGACACACAGCCAGTGCTATGAACCACTCAGGTATTTCCCAAGGTGGCTCCACAGTCCCATTTTTTCCCAAGAGAAGCCAGAAATCATATTTTAATGAAAAAGTCCCAGTTTTTGAAATGTTGGCAACCAATTTCAATTAAAAGCAAATGAAAACGTATGTGGAGCAAAAATAAAAATGTGTGTGTAGCCTGCCATTTGCAACTTCTGCTTTAAACAACTCCCCCGGAGGCCTCTAGGGTACTTTAATAATAACCACCCTATTCCCACTGCTGTCAATCTTATTCCCATGGCACCACTTCCTGGGTGCCTGCGGCATTTCACAAACACTGACCAATCCTGTGAATTACAGAAAAGGTGTGTGTGTGTGTGGTGGGGGAGGTGTCAGCATTCTTGGTCCATTTTACAGATGAGGAAATCAAGGCTCAGGCAGGTGAAGCCAGTGTTCAAGGCAAAGAGCAGGTAAAAAGTAGAGACAGGATTCGAACCCGGGTCTGTCTGACTCCACTGTCACTCTTCTACCCACAGTGTTTCTCAAACTATTGCCTTGAAAAGAGAAGGAAGCATTCTCTCACCTCTGGGAGGTCTGGGGTTTTGTCCTCACCCTAAGCTCAAAATTATTGGAAGTTGTGCACTAGCTTAAAAATCATTATACATTTTATATTCTACTTCTTACTAAAGGCGTGTTCCTTTTAGTATAAAATACAGAAGGAAATAAAGAAATAGAAAATCACCCTTAGGCAAATGTCATAGTAATAACTGCTCCAGGCAAAATGGATGGCTGCTGAAATCAGTGCAGGAAGGTCTGAGGACAACCAGGGTATTTACATGCATAACTTCAAAGTAGCTCAAGGGACTTATTAATTATGAGGTATTACCCAAGGTATTTATTAATTACAAAGGGTAAATTAGGAAGCTTACAGTGGAGAAACTTGGCAGACTCCACCTGAGCCACGGGATCGAGGTTGACATCACAGTAATACGGTCAACATCAGGTATCTCCTGATACCATGTACTCAGAGGGGCCTCTCATTTCTGGGGTTTTGTTGCCAAAAATGCATAACTTCAGTCTAACCGTGAGAAAAACGTAGTCAAATCCAAATTGAGGGTGTTCTGCAAACTAACCAACTGGCACTCTTCAAAAGTGTCCAGGTCGAGAAAGACGAGGAAAGACAGAGGAACCATCTGGGACTGGAGACATGACGACGGATTCCTGGATGGGCTCCCGGCCACAAGAAGGACGTTAGTGGGACACTATCGAAAGCTGAATCGATCTGTGGTTTAGTTAGCGGTACCAGACCAAGGTTAATCGCTGAGTGCGGATAGTTGTACTGTGGTTATGTGAGACGTTAACATGAAGGGAGACTGGGTGGAGGACATATGTGAGTTCTTTGGACTATTTTTGCAACTTTCCTCAAAGTCTAAAAGTATTTCAATATAAAAAGTTTTAGAAAGTGCCATGGGGTCACCTTCCTCCCACCCTAAAAAAGTCTTGACATGGAATCGATGCTCCTGATGGGTGTTCATGTGGACCTGGTGGCTTGGTGTGTTCCCTGACACATCCTGGTCACACGAGGGGTCTAGGGAGGGGCAGGATGTCGGGTCCCTGTCTGTTCCCCTTCCAAAAATCACTGATTCTCAGTTTCACAGGAAAAGTTCCCATGTGGGGAACCTCAGGGCCTGTTTTGGCTGCTGTCTGTGGCCCTGAAGCCTGGAAACATCTTGACAAGCCAGCCCTCTCCCCCACCAACGGGGAAACTGAGGTCCAGAGACACCGGGTCACCCAGAGTCAGTGGCCAAGCCCAGCCAGCCTCCAGCCTCTCAAGCTCAGAGTGAATTAGGCTCCGGCTCTGCAGTCCCGTCTGGGTGGAAATCCCAGCTCTACTATTCATGTAGCCGCGGGGTCTTGGGCGCTACTTGGCCTCTCTGGGCCTCAGTTTCCTCACCTGCCGCGTGGGGACAATAATAACAGTGCCTCCCGCATATGTGCAAGGATGCCGGCCACCGCAGACAGGGCAGCTCTGCTCTTCACCACCGTCAGCCATTACGATTATGACCGAGGCTACGCTCCATCGCAGGGGGTTCCGATAGGGCGGAGTGACCTTTTCCGGCGAACTAGGCGGCGGTGCTAGCCCAGGCTTCTCCACCTTTGGGGTAAGTTCCTTCGCCTAGGAATCCTGAACCTCAGTTTCCCAGTAGGGCCCACTCTGGGCTGTGTCTGGGGGTGAGGTCTCTGCGGCCACACTCACCTCTCACAGTCGGTGAAGACGAAGCGACGCAGCTTGAGGTCTCTCACGACTAGCCCGTGCTGGTGACAGTGCGCCAGGGCGGCCGCCATCTGGCGGAAGAGCGCGGCGGCCTCGGGCTCCGGGAGGCGGCGGCGGCGGCGCACCAGGCTGTGCATGTCCCCGTGCGGCCGCGGGAAAAAGGCGTAGAGGTGGCGCGTGCCCGCCAGGACCTCGGCGGGCCGGGCCACGTGCGCGTGGGGGGGCAGCCGCGAGTAGGGCTCCAGCACCGTCAGGGCGTCGCAGACCGGGTACACCTGGGGGCGGAGCATGGCGTGAGCAGAGGGGGGAGCCGTGGAGCCACCCCCGGCTGGCCTTGGAAAGAGTCACAACCAACTCTTTAGAAGGATGATGAAATAGAGAATATTCTGGAAGGGGGCACCCATTTTAGAAAGTGTGGTCCAGAAGGGACTCTGGGGAAGTGACCTGAATGATTCAGAGATGCCCATGGGATAAGCTTTCCAGTTGGGGGGCACAGGCAGTGCAAAGGCCCTGCGGCAAGAAAGAGCTTGAGCTGCACTAGAAACCCAGCCAAATACCAGTATGGCTGGAATAGGGTGGGGGAGGGCAGAGGGGCCATGGTGAGGGTGGGGTCCTGGAGAAATGTGCTAGGGTCTTTAGGGACATTAGACGGAAACCTCACCATAGCCCTGAGAGGATGCTCAGAGGAGGAAGGTGAGTTGTTGCAAGCCATATGGCGGCAAAGCTGGTGTGCTCGCTTTGGCTCATCTGACTTTAAACCTTTTGCATGTTATTTTGTCTATGCCGCACAGAAAATAAAAATAAATAAAGCATAGACATATGTAATCCATGGGGAAAAAAGTGTAAGCATGTGTCTAAAAAAAAAAAAGTTGTGGTGGCATGGAGGAAATAATCCAAAAACAGAGACTTTTTTAAAATTTAGGGCAAGCGCATTACTGCCTCTGTGCATTTGCACTGGCTGTTCCTGCTGCCTGGACACGCACAGGGCTGGCTCCCTCAATTCATGCAAGTCACTGCTGCAATGTCACCTTCTCAGAGAGGTCGTCCCGGCTGTCCCCAGCTAAGATCACCTGCCCCCACTACCCCCCTTCCCCTCTCTCCCAGCTCCTAGCTTTTCCTCCGCAGCACTTACGATTACCTGACTTATATTTTACTTATTCACTTGTTTATTGTTCGTGTCCCCCGCTAGAATGTCAGCTTGATGAGAGCAGAATTTTGTCTGTTTTTGAACGACAGCGTGCTGCATGGCGCATACAGGTGCTCACTGAAGGTGTGTGGAATTAATGAATAAGGCGATAATCTACAAAGACACGATCTTGCTCCTTCTACGCTCTGACCAGAAAACCCTAGGCAATGTGGAAATGGCGGGTCAGCCCCTGCGGTTCACGCTGGTGTGGGGACCAGCGCACCCCAGCAGACTCCCCTAAATGTTGCTGAATAATGGGGGCCATGTGAAAGTGTGACGCTTCTTGTCCGAGCTGGCTTGGGTCATTCCTCTCAGCGTGGACCTCCCTCCCCAGTGGGAACAGAAAAGAATCTGCGATGCTGCAGGAAGGGGACCCAGAGTTCAGGGGTCCCTTAGAGCACCTGGGGTCAAGCACGCAGGGAGCCCAGGTGAAGCTGGTGGCTGGACGATGTGCCCACATCTGTCCCTCTGCCTCCCCACCCCCACCCAGCAGGAGCTGGAGACAGCTGCTGCTGCTCCCAGGTGGAGGCTTAAGTCCTTCTGCCTCTCTGTGCACTCCCAAGGGGACCCAGCTGTCACTCCGCTGGGCCTCTGCACAGCTGTTTCCCCGGCCTGGACCTGCCTTCTCCCACTTCTCCCTGGCTAACTCCTGCTCAGCCTTTTCTGGCTCCCCCCTGAACTACAGTAGAGGCTTCTCCCCTGTGCTCTCAGGGCCCCTCAGCACCACCCCGTTTATCACACTATGGGGCCTACACTGTGAATTCCCCCAGGGCTGGGACTGTCTGGTTTACCCCTGTCTCAGCCCAGCCCCAGCCTGGAGCTTGACAGAGAGCTGGGGGCTCACGGGCTGCTTCCCCAGTAAACACAGGAATAAATTAATATAAAGACCCCCCAGTCCCTGGCAATCCTCTGCAACCAAGACCCTTCTCAGGCCCCCTGTGACGCTGGTGGAGAGTGGCCCCCAGGGCAGGTACCTTGCAGGTGTACTCGGCTCCTGTGGGGCGGTGCAGGGCCCGGTAGGCCTGGCCGCCCTCCTCAGGCTCCAGGAGGACATAGGGCCCAAGCCGGGAGGCGGTGGTCACAGCAGGGGCACGGAGTGGAGCAGGGGGTGGGCTCAGGGGCAGTGGGCAGGGGGGCAGCCTGGGCGGGGGCCCACTTCGAGCTTGTTTCCGGGTGGGAGCCTCAGTGTCTAGGTTGTCGTCCAACTCCAACCGCTTCTTCCTGGAGGGGGCAGCTGCAGGAGCAGCCAGAGGAGTGGCTCGCATCTAGAAAGAAGGAGAGGAAGGCACTCAAGTGAGGCTGTTTGGCAGCCCTCTCTTCCCCTGCTGGTGGGAGGGTACATTGGCCCAGCCAATTACAGAGGATGATTTGTAGTGTGTATTAAACTGACAAGTGCACATAGCCCTAATTGGGTGTCCCACTTCTGGGAATTTATCTTCCAACTAAAATGCTCACCAAAAAATTAAATATGTGAAAGGTTGCTCATCAGAGCCTTGTGTCTAATAGCAAAAGGCAGGAAACACTCCCAAGTGTCCAGCAGTGGGAGGCTGGTTAAATACCATGGTACAGCCATACAGTGGAATACTATACAGCTCTGAGAAAGGACTGGGAAGCTCTCTATACACTGATGTAACCATGCAAGTACAAGGTTATTCCTGCAGCCCATGTGATAGAAACAATTTAACGTCCATCCTTAGGGGACTGGTTAAATAAATTATATTTCATCCATACAGGGAACAATTGTAGCCATTCAAAAGATTGAGGAAACTCTTTATGTGCTGATTGGAAAGATCTCCAAAGTGAACTGTTAAGTGAAAACAGAAAAAAAGGTAAAGCGGAGAGAGAGACTTAGTGGTTGTGACAGGGAGGAAGAAAGACTTTGCATTATATCTGTTGAGTGTCATAGTGTAGGAGGCTATGAGCCGTGAAGGGGAGGGAGGGGTCGAAGGAGGGAGGGAAGGAGGGAGTAAGGATGATGAGGGGTGATGAATGAATGAGGTAGGCCGTGAATGTACATGTGAATGTACGCTCTGGAACGGATATATTGTCAAGTGAAAAAAGCAGGCTGCTGAACAACACACCCAAGATGATCTCATTTATGTAAAAACCCCATCAGCATATAAAATGATGTATCTCCATGTTTGTGTATATGTCGGTGTGTGAATGCACAGGGAAAGGTCTGGAAGGACCCAGACTAAACTGGAGGCCCCCAGGGGAGGAAGGGATTTGGTAGGGAGGCAAGGGAATTTTCAATTTCAGTATTGTAAGGTAAAGATCCTGCATTCATTTACTGCTTGAGTATTTCAGATCAGAGTGTATTTCTTTTTTTCAAATGTGAATTTTATCTACTATTGCCTGACGGCTCAAGAGCTCCCGGAATCACAGGGACCACAGGCGAAGTCAGTCCCCCAGCCAGCTCAGCTTCCCCCTCAGGTGAGAGGTGAGGCGGGGAGGGGAGGGTCTGTCAAAGGCCCCCAAATTCATTCATTCAACTGTGGGGGAAGCCACCCCCCATGCAGCTGTGTCACCGTGTGTGGTGGGTGGAGGAGAGGGCAATGGCATGTCTGGGCAGAAAAGTTCTCTCCAGGACCCATCTGCCCACCCATTCAGGCTCCAAATGAGGGACACGGAGCCCAGGGAAGAGGAGTCAGAGGGAGATGGACTTCCGCCCAGGTGAGACCTTCCCAACAGTCCCAGGCAGGATTAACAGGGAAACATGACTCAGTCGGTTCTCACACTGAGGCCCACCTCTCCAATCACGCTGCTCCCAAATGTCTGGGCTGGCCTGGGAGGAAGAGAGGGAATCCCCACTCCCACCCCCACCCCCACCCCGAGTGAAAGGCCATAATCCCATCTTGGTAAGAATGCAATCAGGGGTGGCTGCAGTCAGATATTCCTGGGTTCTAATCCTGGCTCAGATCCTTCCTGGCTGGGTAGTCCTGGGCAAGCTCTTCAACCTCCCTGAGCCTCAGTTCCCTCATCTGTAAAGTGGGAACAGGATGCAAAGCCCATAGGATTTTTCTGATGATGAAATGAAAACACAAATAAACTAGAGTGGCCTTTTGTAGGGTAGGTGTCAGAAAATGGTCACTACTGTTGGTCCGTTACTATTATTATTATTATTCGTAGCTGAAGATGCTACAGTGCTACCCTTGAAAGGCTCAGGAATCTCCCTGGGGTGAGGCTAGGATGACTCTTTACCTCCAGGGCTGTTCTGAGAGTCACACAGGATGATACCTGGCTGTGTGGATGCTTTGTGCCCTGGAAGCACGAGACTCCCTGGAGGGGCCCTCTGGGAGCCACACCAGCACTCAGGCTGCTTGGCCCCATCCATGCCCAGAGGCTGCTGGGTCTGAGATAAGCTCCACTGGACAGGTGGAGTAACTGAGGCTGTAGATGAGCAAGGCCACACTGCAGGACTAGAATCTCTGCTGTAGGACGGAGGCAGCCCCCAATATCTACCTCTTGCTGTTCCCTGACACCTCCGGGGAATGAGAGTGAGCCATACCAAACACACACACAACCCAGGGCAGACAGGTGTACTCACGCCCCTCAAAAAGACACTTTGTCCAAGCCAGCCAGCCCACGCGCACATCCAGGGCAGAGAGGGACATATCATTACGTGACACACACCTCGCCCTCCAGGGCAAGTGCACAGGCACACACACAGCTCTCCCCACTATCACACTCAGGACTGCAGGATTGATACCAACGAGGCCATACGCACAGTCTGACACGCCCCCCCAACCCCGGGGAAGGCAGTTAGCACCCTCCCCGCGCCTTCCGCAGCCAGGCCCCTCCGGTGGGAGCTGAAGCGGCGGCCGCGGGTGTCCCGGGCAGAAGGTTCGGCGGAAACCGAGAGGGGTGGGGGCAGTGAGGCAAAGGGAAGGAGGCTGGGCTCCAGGCTGGGAGAAGGGGCGGACCTGGGCCCTCGCCCCCACACGCCCGAGTCTGCAGGTACAATGCACACCATTGGCAGGAACAAATACACGCGCGCACAATACAACGTGCAAACCCGAAGCCGCACCGCCCTCGGGCCCCGCATCCCGCGCTGCATCCTCGCTCCCACTCGCCGTGCACCCCCCCACCCCCCTCCCCGCCCCGCCCCCTCCGGCACCCCAGCCCTTCCCGGCCGTGTCCCCGCACAGCCAACACCTGCCACCAGGTGCCCAACCTTCCCCACAGCTCGCACAGTCCACGAAGACACAGACGCCCGAGACCATCCCCGCCCAGACCCCACAGGGTCACGTGGACACCCGCTGATCCCCACAGGCACGCCCCCACAGTGACACAGACCCTACACGCAGTCCCGCAATGCCCCACACAGGCGCCCCCCGACCTCCCGCACCAAACGACACAACTCCCCCGCCTCACACTCACACAAAACACAGACAACCGCACACCCCTCTCGGGGCGACACCCGGACACCTCAGTCCCCGGTCCCCTCTGCCCCCGGGACACAGCTGCCACTCCCCACGGCAGCGCACCCTCGGCCCAGCCCGAGTCGGCCACACTCGGGCGACCCCACGCCCTGCCGGGCCGTGTCACCTGAGACGCGACGGCAACACTCAGCCCAGGTCGCGCCCTGGACGGCGGGGTTTGTTAAAAGTTGTGTGTGCACGCGTGTGTGTAACACGCAGCAACCCGCAGCCGCCCAGAGGCTCCCGGTCCCCCTCCGCCCATCTCCGTCCTCTCTCCTGTCCCCACCGGGTACCTTGCTCCCGCGTGCGCGGGGGTCCTGCCGCCGCTCAAGCTCAGAGTCGCCGGGGCCCCCAGGTGGCCCGGGGTCAGTCCGGTGTGCCGAGCTCGGGATCCCGACGGAGCGCTGTCCCGGCCCCAGCAGCCGGACGCGTGCGGAGCCGCCGGCGCTTCCGCTGCGAGTGTCTCGGGGACGCCAGGCGCCGGGCTCCTGCTCCGGCCCGGGTGATGTAAACCTGAGCTAATCAGCCGCCTCCGGATGCCCTCAGGCCGGGGATTGCACCATCCGCCGCGCCCCGCCCCTCGGGGTCACCGCCGAGCGCGCCCCGCCCCGGCCCCTCCCTTTCGCTCCGCCCCGGCACCCCTCGCCTCTCCCGCCCTCTAGGGGTGTCTGGTCTCCACTCCCTCCCCTCCCGCCCCGTGCCCGAAGTTTGAGCGAGGACACCTGCCTCCGACTCTCCCTATCACCTTGGGAAAAGCATTTTGCTTTTCTGAGCCTCAGTTTCCCCATCTGTGAAATGGCAAGCAAGAACATCCTTCCCTCTCAGGATGGTTCCAAGGAGAAAGAGCAAACCGTGACAGTTTCCTGGGTGCTTCCCCGTTTATAAAGCGCTTTGGGGTCCTGCCCGGTGGCACAGCAGGTAAGTGCACGCGCTCCGATTCAGCGGCACTGGGTTCTCAGGTTCGGAACCGGGCGTGCACAGGCGCACTGCTTGTCAAGCCATGCTGGGACAGTGTCTCACATAAAGTAGAGGAAGATGGGCACAGATGTTAGCTCAGAGCCGGTCTTCCTCAGCAAAAAACAGGAGGATTGGCATTGGATGTTAGCTCAGGGCTGATCTTCCTCACACACAGACACACACACACAAATATATATATATATATATAAAGCACTTTGCCACCATTGCTTTATTAAACCTTTAGGAGAACCCCAGGGGGGCAGGAAGCTCCATCTCCCTATTCTACTGAGGGGGAGCGTGAAGCTCCGCTCTGGGAAAGCAGCCCTGGAGTTTTGCAAAGACCACAGATTTAGGAGCCGCCTCTGGGCTCAAAAGAACCAGTGCGGTGCCCTGGAGAGGCCTGAGGTTGGGTGGGCTTCACAGCATTCATTTGACAGAGGCAGTGCAGCCTAGTGGTTAAGAGCAAGCACCCTAGATCCAGCTTGCCTAAGAGTGCACCCCACCACTGCCCAGACCCACTGTGCTACCTCAGGAAAGATACTGAAAACCCTGCTTCAGTTTCCTCCTCCGTAAAACGGGCTTATAATAGTACTCACTTCACGGGGTTGTTGCTTGGATTAAATAAGTTAATACATGTAAAATGCTTAGAATGTGTGGCATGTTGTAGGTGCTCAATAAATAGAGTGGGGACAACGGGGGCTCAGAGGGGGGAAGGTGCCCGTTACAGGGCTCAGACTCCAGACCTGAGAGGCCTTGGTGGCCCTTGCTGTTTGGTGGAACATCCCTGTGCAGCCCCAAGGGTCCAGCACCTTTCTTGGAAATCCCTTTTAGGTCTTGATATCTGAATTCACCAGTGTCAAAAAATAACTCCTTGGGGCAGAAGTTGGATGGGAGGTGGGTGGAGTTCTGTTTCCCTGATTCCAGCACTCCAGGGACCAGCTCCCCTGTGTCTCAGAACCCTCCGGGCACAGCAGGCGGTTGTGGCACCTCACTTAACCCTGGAGACTCCCCTGCCGGGAGGGATGGGTGGACTCATTTTCTACACCAGCAGGTCCCGCAGCCGTCCGGGGCAAAAGAAGGCAGGCATTCTTGTCTTCTGAGCACCTCGATGGAGCCAGCACTGTCTGGGTTTGCTCCCACATTCCTAACTTTGTTTCATGCTGTGTCAGACCCTGTTCTAAATGCTGGGGACTCAGCCGTGACAAATCTGACCTATTCCTGCCCTCAGGGATCTTATAAATCAGTGGGGAGACAGACCATTATCAAGAAAATAAAATTAATAGCCGAGATCATTTAAAATATGTTATAAATGTTATGTATTTTCTTGAATGAACAGGATAGATTTGTTCTCCAGCAGATATGACTGAGCGGTGGCTATTTTCAGTAGGAGTCATCAGGAAGGTGATGTTTAAACTAAGATCTTAAGGAAGCGAAGGGGTGAGGAGTGCAAAGATGTGAGGGGAGACAGAGAAAAAGTAAGTGCAAAGGCCCTGAGGTACTTAAGGAACTGTGAGATGGGCACTGTCACCTCCATTCTATAGATGAGTCCAGGTGAGGGACTTACCAAGACCACCGAGCTCGTTGTATGAAGCAGATTTGAGATTTGAACCTGGGGCAGCTAACTCCAGTGCCCACACTGTCCAGGGACAGATCACAATCTTTGCAACCCGAAGGCAGCCTCCACCCGGACTTGTGGATGGTCACTGGAACTGCACCCTGGGCCTGGACTCCAGGTTTGAGGGCCTTGTCACAGTTGGGCGTGTCAAATCCCAATTCTCTAGACCAGCACTTTCCAATAGCACATAACATGAGCCAAGTATGTTTTCATTTTTCTAGTCAGGTATTGCAGGAGAATGAAAAGAAGCAGGTGGAATTAATATTAATAAATATTAAATATTCTATTTAATCCAATAACATAGCATATTATCATTTCAACAGATAAGATAATAAAAATTATTAATGAGATAATCTAAAATTTTTTTCATACCAATGTCTTCAAAATGTGGTGTGTATTTCATACTTGGTTTGGACACAAATCAGCATGGAAGCTAAATTGTCAGTGGTGAAAGTGAAATGTTGTCCTCCCAAAACAATTAAGTTGGGTTTAATGGAAAAAATATGCTACCTGTTTTAAAATTAAAATTCAGTAAAATGAAAAATTCGGTTCCTCAGTCACACCAGCCACATTTTAAACGCTCAGGAGCCACGTGTAGCAAATGGCTATGGTATTGAGTAGCACACCCCTAGACCAAGAATTCCAGGGAGTATAGCAAAGAAGTGAAGAGCGTGGGGTCTGCAGTAGAGATGCCACAGACCCTGGAGCCTCAGTTTCTGCATCTATGAAATGGATTGATTATACCTTCTTTGCACTGTAGTCCTAAGGATTAAATGCACTGAGGCAGTTTTCTCATCTGTAAAACGGGGAAAATAATAGTGCCTACTTCATCGGTTTGTTATGAGGATTAAATGACTTAATATCTGTGAAGTGCCTGGCATATAAATGCTATATAAGCATTTGTTAAAAGGAGAGAAAATAAATGGTGATCAACGCCCCAAAATTAAATGCAAAAATGTGCACTTTCCTGGATGGAGAGTTGGGCTTTCATCAATTCCCTTCTCTGCGGGCTCAGAACGTCCCTCCACCCAGATGCCTGAGCCACGCGGGCTGCATTTCTGTTCGCTGTAGTTCCGCTGACCCCCAGCGCTGGGAGGAGGAACTCGGCGCGGGGCGGGGAGGCTGCGCTGCAAGGTGGGGGTGGGAGTCCGTGGACCGCGATGATAGGAGCCGCGCCCGCCTCCCTCCTCCACACCCCGTCGCTGGTGCCTGCCTCAAGCCTGAAATGCCACCGCTGGTGTTCTTAAAACGTTTCAGCGTTTTTTTTCTATGTCTGTCGCCAGTCCTCCTCCTTTTGTTGAGGAAGATTGGCCCTGGGCTAACATCCGTGCCCAACTTCCTCCACTTTATATGGGTCTCCGCCCCAGCATGGCCTGACAAGCATCCGTGCGCACGGGGGATGCGGACTGGCGTACCCTGGGCGGTCACAGCCCAGCGTGCGCACCTCACAGCTGTGCCACCAGGCCGGCCCCAAAACCTTCCGCTTGGTAAGTTGTGCCCACGAAAGCGAAAAGATGCTTTGGAAAGAATTTTGGTTGGATTCAGGTCTGGCTGAAGCCATTGACCCCGTGAGATGGTGGGCAAGTCATCTTCCTTCTTGGGGCCTTAGTTTCTTGTCTGTAAAATAGGAAGAAAGAGTTGGATTAGGTCGGTGTTTTCTAAAATATGACATGTATAGCAATGGTAGGGTCTCAAGACTCTGAATCATTGCATCATTTGGTGGTACACGCATTTTCTTTTGATTTTCTTCCTGTTCCTCCAGTTACTGGGGGGAAAAGTCTCATTTTACAGCCTCTCTGTCTTTAACATCTCGCTTGGTAAGGAAGAGAGAGCAGGGCTCAGTCCAGAGTCTTCAGCAAGAAACAGGATTTTGCTAGGCTTGAAGAATCTTATTTTGCTTTCCTTGTATTTAATTTGATGGTGACTTCCTCCTTACCAGAAATGATAGTGGCTTTCCATTTGAGGTCAGTGACTTAAATGTTCCATTTTAAATGAATTTACCTAAGTTTTAAAAAATAAGCTGATTGAAAGAAAAACATCAGGAAACTAATAATACAGATGCGTAAATGCATTTGGGCCAATCAATTTGGGAAAAGCAGTGGGTGATTCAAGAGTTGCAGCTCTAGGCCTGTGCTCCTCTTGGGGAGCCCTCGTTAGGAGACCAGGCACCCCCCCTTCTCTGGGGTTTCCCAGGGGCTTTGCAGAAATCCCTCATCATCCGAATGTGGCTGAGGCTGGGCCTCAGGAAAGGCAGGAAGCCCTGTGCGTGGGCACAGCATCTTCCCAGAGGTGGCCCAGTGGCAGCCATGGCCCTGCCAGGTGACCCAGGTCTGCCCTGTGGGCCTGGGTTTTCTTCGGGAAGAATGTGATGCCTGTGCTTGAGGAGGGAGCATGGCCCTGTGTGGGTGCTTCCTTACATCACCTCACTGCATCCTCAAACCTCCCAGGGAGTTGCTGTTTTCATCCCTGGAGACAGATGAGGAAACTGGGCTCAGAGAGGTGACATCACTGGCCTAAGGATGAGGAGGGTAGTGCGATTAGGAGCCTGTCTATCTGGCTTAAAGCCCAGGTGGTCTTTGTCCACAGCCTTACATGACCTCTTTGGCCAGTACTAGTTATATGACACTGGGCAAGTCACTTAGCTGCTCTGAGACCCAGAGCCTCATCTATGAAATGGAATTGATAGTAGCATCCTCCTGATAGGGTTATTGAGCTGCTTCTTGTTACCAGGAACTGTTATTGGATTAAATGGAGGGTTAAATGAGTTAATACAGGTAAGGTGCTTAGAAGAGTTCGTGGCACACAGTAAGCACTTGATGATAAGCGGCAATATTATGTCTACGGAGCCCAGGCTGCTGCCTCCCCTGCACCCCAACACACACCGCTTGAGAGCTGAGGGTGTAGGGAGAGGTGGGGACATACCTCCTGAGCAT